AGCGTTCTGGAGTGAGACCCAGACAATTTTGTCTGCACGCGCTATATGCACCTGATTTTTAATGGTCCCTTATCTTTATAGAGGTGGGAGGCCAGAATTTGTCATTCGCCCGTCATTTTCGGTCTTTCCAGGGAGCACTGAAAGTGGCTGGTGATCTTTTGGACTCGGAAAATTCATTCTGATGCAAAAGACGATTAGCTGGAGAGAAAGAGAGAGAGAGAGAGCGAGAGAGAGAGAGAGAACGAGAGAGCGAGAGAGAGCGCGAGCGACAGAGAGAGCGAGAGAGCCAGAGAGATGGAGGGACAGAGGGAGCAGAGAGACAGAGTGAGAGAGAGAAAGAGAGAGAGCGAGAGAGAGAGAGCGCGAGAGAGAGCGAGAGAGAGACTGACAAGGGAACCACCCGAGGTCGAGGTGGCGTTTCGTTATGGGACCCAGCCCATTTTGTGCAGAATTTTTTGCTGATTCCGAATCCGCTGCTCATTTTTGCCAAATAGCTCGTTTTAAAAAGTTATAGCGCTTCAAAGTTACATTTTTTCCGAAATTTGTCAACTTCAAAGCCATTTATGTTGCACTTCCCGGATGATTCATCAAAAACGAATATCACCATCATATTCAGAAAGTTTTTCTCTATCGAATGAGCTATTTAACTCAAAATTGTTGGAAATCGAAAAAATCGACGATACTTGGTATGGACTTCGTTTTTTGTATGGGACATGGTGAAAAACAGGCTATTTCACACTCCCATAAGTGATTATCGATAGGCAGTAGCGCAGTAATGAAATATACCATTCGAATCAGAAAAAAATTCTCTACAGGATAGGCTATTTAAAATGGATTGGCATATTAAAACAAAAATGTTGGGCATCGTCACAGATGACCGCCCGCGGGCTCAAATATGATCTTAAAATCGCTGTAACTTTTTAAATCGGGCTATTTGGCAAAAACTGAAAACGGATTCGGAATCAGCAAAAAATTCTGCACAAAATGGCCTGGGTCCCATAACGAAACGCCACCTCGACCTTAGGTGGTTCCCTTGTGAGATCTAATGATAGCCCAAGTATCTTTCTCGGATGAACCACATGTAATGCTTTATTCTCTATAAAAAACGGCACAGGAAAGCAAATTTACATGAAAACGGGGCCAATAAGCGGGCGGAAAAAGAGCCGGATTGTTCCCTCTATCTCGTCCCTCGTCATCGTCATCTATCTCGTCGTCTCCTTAATCGTCCCAGCCAAAGAAATTATGGGCTTCTCCGGTCCTGTACGATTCGAGCAATCTCCAGACGCGCCGCTGGGTGCGAAACCAGTCCTAAAGAATCACAATAAGCCGGGGATTAGGTTATAGAATGTTGTTGTAAGGGGTAGCCGGGCGCTACACTGCAGCAATTCCCGTATGCCGCCAATTTCCGTAAAGCCTTACCCAATCATAGTCGAAGCACAGCGACGCGCAGATGGTCTAAAGAACGGTTGATTTTGCTTGTGGGGCAGAGTTCCTACGAAATCGCAGACGGCTACGCGGCGCGGCAAAGCACCATATTCGTGGAGGTAATTGCGCGCCTCCCTTTCCAATCGCATTCTCTTGTTTAGAGTATACTGAAAAACACTTTTGAGAAACGTCAGGATTGGGAGAGTGCGTGAAAGAGAGAGAGAGAGAGAGAGAGAGAGAGAGAGAGAGAGAGTGAGAGAGAGAGAGCGACGGAGAACAAAACCTCCGACCTCGTCGCATCTACCATAGCCTTTCCCCCACAGGTTCTCGTGTGCTTCTAGCAGGATAGCGTAGGCCTTGGAGTGCAGCAGACTTTCTTCAAAACTGCGCTCCCTACAAAGAAATTCTCAGAAGACTGAGGGCTTCAGAGGCCCCACCCCGTTAGCGTGCAATCCGTAAAGCGGTATGTTAGACATACGCGTTCTTTGGTAAGACTTTCCTTTACCCCCCCCAGTTTAACTAGCAGGAAGTTCCCAAAAGTTTATTGTCATCCTACTACAGGGTGTCCCCAAAAAACCCCCCCTACCTAGCGGTCCGCAGTCGAGTCCGATTTTTACGATTTAGGTATCTATCGAATGCTCGCGAAAAGGCGAGAAAACAAGGAGGGTTGATTTTCTTTATTATTTGTTTTTATTCGGTAACCATCGCCCAAAACCCGCTTCGCGGGCCTTGGGCAAAGCAATCAAAATCCCTCGGTCCGCCGCGGACCGAGGGATCCGGTCCGGATGGAAATTTCGGACCGGACCGGATCCAATTAGGGGCCAGTGTGACCAACCCTGGTCAGGGGTATTTGTGGGCGTAGATTACTACACGCTTATCAGCTTTTTGCTAAAATTGCGTTTTATACCTTATTTTAACGTTTTTAAAACATATGGAAATAGACTAAGGAACTTTACTATTTCGGGGGGGGGGAACTGTGCGGAGGAAATGTTCTTCGTTTTGTTACAACTCTTTTATACATTCTTGCTATTTTGAGTTGTAAATAAAACTCTGAGTGTATTTTTTGACGCTCTATCGAATAGCATTAAAGAAATTTTTGAAAGATATCGAAAATGTCGAAAACTAGCCTTCGATTCCACGATCCCATGTGGAAACACCGCATAAACCTTGTTTTTGCTTTTAATAAAACAATATTTTTAGATGAAATTAAAACTCTTAGGATATTTTTTGATGCTCTATCGAATGACGGGTGCAAAACATCGAAAAACTAGCGAAAATGCCGAAAACTAACTTTCCGGCACCAGTTTCAATAGGTTTTTTGTTTTTGCTATAACTTTTTTATATTACAATATTTTTAGCTAAAACAAAAACTCTTGGTATATTTTTTGATGCTCTATCGAATGGCGTTGCAAAAATCCCCAGAAAATAGCGAAAAGATGGTAGTTTCCGCGAAGCATATTTTCCCGCCCGCACAGTCCCCCCGGCGAAATAGAACAGAACCTAATTTGCATACGAGTGATAATTCGGCTCATTCTGGGATTTGCCGGGCTCGAAGTCGGTTGCTCACGTATTTCCTGTAGCTTTCAGTTTTCTAACTTAAATCGTAAGATTTTTCAAATTATTAGATGCAAAGTGTCTGGGTATCAAAGGTCTCCGCAGAGAGGCCAGGGTGAAATATTGCGCACCCAGGTAACTTTTTGATTCTACATTATTTTGGGCTGTAATTCAAAACGTTTAGTATATTTTTTAATGCTCTATCGAATGGCTTAGCCAAAAACCTGACAAGATAGCGGAAATATCAAAAAAAATTCGAAACTTCCGGCTGCGGAGGGTAAAGTACCGTCCCGTCCAGTACCGTACCGTCTCTCCCGATAATCACAACGGCACAGCGCGAAAAGACTCGTCTGCACGCTGATCACAAGCCCGTCACGGCTCTAGAATGGTGAGTTCTATGCGGCCGGGATGTATTTACCGTCTCATTGCGCCGGATCAGCCAAGTGCTGCAAAAACAAATCGTAATTTCGGTGAGCAGGGCACCACTGCCAAGTACCTGGCGCAAATCTTGAAGCAACCCGGCAACCCGTCAGCCAAATCTGCCACAAGGTAGGGCAACCCTAAAATAGCGACCGTAGCATTCAAAAACTTCTTTCCAGCATACCCGTGCTTCGAAACGACGAGGGCCAAGAGCGTTTCCATGCCTGGGCCAAGATGAGGATGCGATCGATCTCACGCTCGCCGTTCAGCCATTCCTACATGGCATAGGAGTGGAAAAAGTGGAACGTAGGCGTCGCAATGCATGACAATCAGGGGCGTGGGCGGGGGGAGTTCATAAGGGGAAACCCATATGAATTTTTTTAGAAAAAGAAGAGTGTGCTTTCAACCCTGGTGTGCTAATAAAATTGATCTAAAGGAGAATTGTATTATAAGCGAAAACATGACAATTTGACTACGTTTTGCAGCTAATAAGCTACCGTAATCATTTGACGAAAAAAGATGACGACCAGCGATGGGGATTCATACACGGTGCTGGGCGGAGTGTAGCACGACTCTCGCTCAGCTGTAAGTTTCGGTATTTGATGTATGATAAATGGCCCCGGATCGGCGCTTTGACGCCGAACCGCAGTCCTGGTAAAAAAACTCTAAGACAGGATTTGCTAACGAAGGATGGCTGTTGCGCGGACGCCGGCAGAAGTTTCTCCGCCGCCGGGGAAACTTCTGACGGCATCCGCGTAACACCGGGGGGGCTGACAAAACTTGCCCGGGGGCAGTGCGTAGAAGATGTTCATTGTTTGTACTTTCAACATGGGTAATTCGGGAAGCTGGTGTATCACGTCTGGTAGACAAACGCTCAGCGCCTTGACCTGCTAAAAGAACGAAAATCTGTGTTACGAACTTTTTGAACAAAATAATAAATTCCCGTAACCCCGGTGAAGGGTCTCGGATTTTTCAACAAAAATTAAAATTTAATGTCGAAAATAGGCGATTTTGGTAAATCTGATATGCGTGCAGTCATCTCCAGACCATTACGCACCTATTGACGTATCAAACATGCCTCTAACTACTCTCCTTCTTGAGATACTGCTGGAACACGCAGACGGAAATTGCATGCAAAGTGGCACACAGACACACACAGACACTATTTTTTATATATAGTAGGATAGTAGGATTCGCGAATAATAATACATACTAGGCGAAATGAACGGCCTTGTTTTCTCGCCTTCGATAGATACCTAAACGGTGGAAATCGGAAACGACTTCGCGCCGCTAGAGGGGGGTGCTTTTTTTTGGGACACCCTGTCGATGCAACACTGGCAGCACTTTTTCACTTGTTACCAATTTTTCATATTTTTTTGTAACTTGCCAGCATTGAAAAAGTGGAAAAACGCCTAAACTACATTAGATATTAATTAGCGCAAAATAAAAGGCATCGCAGCCGCTGTCGCAAATCGACTCGATAGTGTTTCCGCGAATTCCAGCCATTATCCCGACAGCCATAACCCCGACTGCCATAATCCCGACCGCCATTTTATGATATAAGGCATCGAGAGGCAGATCCAAAGAGACGACCAAACTCG